AATATCTATCTACCGCTGCTTAAGTACGGCTAGCATTTTTTCCATGTCTTTATGCTTTATGTGATGAAGCTCCTAACTTAGCTTACTTTGAATTGGGGCATGTTAAAATGATACGTCCACACCCGGCATTATGGCTCAAGTACTGACTTATCAACTTAGTGTAGTATCTGTCTCTTAGCTCCTTTGTGTCTCTGATTATGTAGTCACTGAACTTAAAATATAATTTAAATACTTAAAATATGATTTAAAACCTTAAAGTATCATTTGAAAGATGATGAAATAAACTCTGAATCAATTCATAACAGCAGTGCACGTATAGTTACCTTTTTTCATTTTTTTATTAGAAATAGGGAAGGAAAAGACTCAAATGATCATACGCCAAAGCTATGATAAATCATCGAATCTTAAGTCTGCATATAACGATTATCAATACAATGGATACAATCAAAACATTTTTATTGGGCTATTTTGACGTATTTTTAATCCAGTTATTGTAGTTCTTCTAAAGTAACTTACAGGAAACGTGCCTTCTAAGCCAAGAAGGCAACGTTTAAAGTTGTGTATATTTGTAAACAAGACGTTTAAGATCCATGCATTTAAAGTCACATCTGCAATGTATCATCTGGACATTTGTTTTTCCACTTGATCTACTTCTTTTTAGCAACAGCTTATGGGAAATCCGCATACTGGGTTCTCCATAACTCTTTTTGCAAAACAATCGGAAAAGTCGTACATTGCCTTCACCTCCGCTAGGTTTCCACAGCTTTTAGCTCGCCTACAAGTATGGTAAGTTACAATTCTGTTACATACAACAAGAGATCTGACGCTCTCAGTATACGACTTCGGCTCAGTCACAGGTATGGGTGCTTGAGCAAGGATTTGTGCCTCTATAGTTGAACAATTGACCTTTCCACTTCCACCCGCGAAAAACGACGGTGATCAAAAGCACCAAGTGAAAGAGCTAGCAACAGAACAACACAAAAAGCACGAACGATCTAAATCAGCCAAGCAGAGAAAAGAAAATGAAAAGTAAAAAGTATTATTTTGTGAGTCAGAACGATAATCATTTCATGCGAAAACGACTTATCCCTTTTAAACCTCTATTCCTGTTATTTTATCTTAGATCTTTTCTTAAGGAGGAAAGCGACGAGCAATTAAAGAGAATGCAACTATTGACGACATGACGACGATAATATAATTTGAATTGATTCAGCGATTGTAAAGGCTGTGACAGCTAAAGATTTTGCTCATTTTTTACGTCGATTTCCCATGCAGGCCGTGGTAGAGGCTACATAAGATGTAAATCAAGTGATTGGAAACTTTTAAATCAAATCCGACTTCTCTCTTTTCAGGGTAACCGCACATTTTTGGAAAAAATATTGAGTTAAAAGATAAGAAAAGGTAGCCCCAGATCATACCTGTAGTACAAAGTTGACCATTTTATGTTTTGTACTTCTTCAGATTCTTCCAGAAAACAGATTTCTTTGAATCTTTACTCAAAAACGGGTGCTTATGTCCTCGCCATAACCTTTTATATACTCTCCATAAACCAAAAATATCTTTTTTCCCCTGTTTCTAGGAGATTAACACCGGGTGGTTTCAGCGCTCCTTGGTAAATTTTGACGCAATTGAATTGTATTTTCTTTTAGGTTACTTCAAGATAATAGCAACGCTAATTGATTTGAATAGCTAAGTGTTTTAGGGGGATAATTATCTTGAGACACCCTCTCGAAACTGAACGGTTATGAAAGTGGTATGGGATTTGAGTCAGTTTTCCTCCGTTGCAGTCCACTTTTGGAATGGTCTGTGTGTGTAAGGCATCCTTTAGTATTTAATAAGTTCGTCAAAACATTATCTCTTCATATTATTCTTCAGCTAAGAATAAAAATTTTGTCTTTAAAAAGGACTTTTCAAACCCCCATAAATACACAAGTTCGTTTCCGTTTTCTGTTGATCAGTCAATGAACCGTATGAAAGATTGGGCAAGTCAACCGTATCACTGAAACGGTAAACAAGATTGATTAAGCTGAAACCGGACGCTATTTTTTTTTAACCATTAATGGACTTTTTACCCCGAGGCAATTGCTTAATTACCTGTGACTTAGAGAACTCTTTTTAAAATCAATCTTTTCGAGCAAAATCTAACAGACAAATAAAATGTGAAACTAACCGTTAGTCCAGTGAAGAGAAATCAATATTCTCTACTTCACTTGTTATCAGTATTTAAATGTTAACCCTTTTTAATGTAGTGGTGACCAAGAAGAAAATTCTCCTTACGATATGAGTATATTATTAATCAGGTAGGTTAAGAGAATTGAGGGCGAGTATCAACCAGAGAGTGCATTTTGATTAGAGACCAAATTCTGATAGCAAAATTAATCCTGCGATCTTTGCTGTTAAATTTCTTACTCCAAATTTACGAGGAAACGATATTTTTAACCGCAATAAAAAAATTAATTACAACCCTTTTTCAGTTAGTTGGGACAGGTTTCGATGAAAAACTTCCTTTAAGAAGAAGTGACTGCATAACTGATGTATCATTTCTGTATAACACTCTCTGAGTCGAATGAAGGATATCGTTTTCCCTTCCGAAATAGAAATGGGAGTAATGACTTACTGAAGTGTGATTTAATAAAAATAAAAACTACTTAAATTCAGCGGAGAGTTAGCAACCAGCAAAGCATGAAAAATATT